GCCCACCCTGCTTCTGATGACATCGCTCTGTTTTTTTTTTTTTCCCCACCTTATTTCAAATTACCGACTCACACTTTTCTCATCCTAATTTTACAAGTTGAAAGTGACAAAACAACACACGCACAGCGCTGACTGACTCTGATAACAGCCGGGTGTTCTCTGAGTCCGTTCGACTCTGGTATTACACACAATGTTAAACAGACCCGGGACCCGAAGTAATGGATTGGGACCCGACCCGGACACGGCTGACCATTTAAAATATAGCCCCGAACCCGTACGGATCCCGGGTCGGGTCTCGGGTCCGCCGTGAAGACCTCTAGTTCCAAGTCAGTTTAATCACCGTTCTATATTAATGCGCTGCTTTAATTGATGCACACTAACCAACATGCATCACACACACACACACACAGAGAGAGAGAGAGAGGTCAGAGATCGCTGATTGCTCTGCACACACACACAAACTTGCTGTCAACGCATTCCCGTGATTTTCATTAAAAGTGGTAAAATCGCTGATTTTGAAGTAATTGTTTATACAGAGAGACACGCAGACGCAGCACACAGGTACACACAACTGTCATCTCTCTCTCTCTCAAACGATCGAATTAAAATACATGCTATAATTCATTCAAATAAATGTGGTCTTACTGCACTATTTCATCTCTGTGTCTGAGTTGAAGCGGGCAGAATGCTAGCGCTAACATGCCGTAACTGACGAAAATAGCTATCTTTTTTACCCATTCGGTCAAATATTGTGCTGCAAAGAGCAATACTAATTTTAACTTGTCTATAACTTGGCAAATGACCATGGAATAAGCTCGATCAACGGCTAGCCATGCATTAAAGGATTTTAAATGCACTTCGCGGAGGCTTCAACCTCCGCTTTGCGTCGGGTGGTTCTGGACGCGGCGTGCATTTAAAATCCTTTAATGCACGGCTAGCCGTTGATGATCCCTTACTTATTCATTAGCTACTATACTTATTTCTTAGTTATCAGTAACGCCACTAGTTTTTAGTATATCCTTTGAACTTTTTCTATCCACTTGTTACTAGTAACATTTCTTGTCTCACTAGTTAGAATCAGATTTTTTAAATGGTCGTATGTACTAGTTGAAAAGACTACTTCATAGTTCAATTAAAAATTGCTAGAAATTAAAATGTTACACTTTCTAATTGATGCTTTTATTCAGTCAGTACTGGGAACAACTAGTTGCTATTGCAATAAGTACTAGAAAAAGCAGTTAACTGAAAGAGTTACTAGTCACTATTGTATTACTACTACCAATTAAGAAAAATATGTACTAGTAACAAAATATATACTGGTTTTATCTTTGAGGAATACATGTTTAGACAGCTTGCCATAGAGCGTGCGTCTGCCTCGCTGTCTTTGTACCTGCCAATCATCCTGAACGCGTGTCGAAATGGCCACGCCCAGATCGTGGTTTAGCTTTTGGGTAGACAATGTTCTCACTGTATACTGACGAAACCAAAACGCTAGAATCTCTACGAAGAATGCGAATGTGCTCTTCTTTGTATTTGCATGCGGTAGTCCCGTACCAGCAGGTTTGTCTGATTAGTTTAGTATATCCTGCAAGTAGGCTTCTAAAAGTTCTTAAGCAAACGAGGGCGCGGAACAGACTCACATTCAGCTGATTTAGTTTTTTCACGCCAGCTCTGTTAAACGGAATGAACAAATTAGTGTTTTTTTCAATAGGCCTAATTCTGAACATTTATAAAGTAATGTAAAAAAAAAAAAGTAACATCTCTAAACGAGACTACAAGCAAAAACTTTCGTTATACGCAAGTGTGCAGACGCTTCTGAAACTCGACACTTCATTCTCATCTGGAAAGCTGTTCAGTAGCCTGCTTAAACATAATTACTTAAATAATCTTTCATTTAAATAACACAACGTCTTATATATTCAAAAACTTAGTATCATTGCTTTAATTATTAATATGCTACTCAAGACTCCCAATATTTTTAAACATAACATCATGAATACTTCCAAGTTACTGCACGATGAAAGGACCTCTTTCTGTCTTAGATGGCCGGAATCCAGAATTTAGCCAGTTGAAATGATAATCCGCAATATAAAGACTTTTACATTTTTGTACTATTTTATTATTCATCATTGTGAAGAAGCAGCTTGTTTTTATGGTGCTGTGGCTGGTGTCATGCTGCCATACTATGAATGAACACTTGCATGGCAACAGACTGTGATTGGCTGATTTGTAGGGATACCCTAAATGACTAGCGCAGAGTCAGAGCCTCTCCTCCAATCAGCACTGAGCTCAGAGCTGCGTCAAACATAACACACACACATACTACATAGACAGTCAACGTTAAGTGCATGCAAAGCACAGACAGATGCCAACACATACAGCTCATGTAATAGACCGCACAGAGTACATCGCAGATTCTAAAAGAAATATGTGACATTTCAAAGAATTTCTCATTTTTTTAAATTTAAAGGGATGGGGAAAATTTAGTAATAACATGATAATAACGTAGTAACATTCAAAACACTTAAATCTGTGTGCATTCAACTCAAGAATATATTGACAAGATAACGATGTTTTAATTGAAAAATGTTACGAAGTGTCGTATGATCATGTTTTTTAATGCAAGTCCTCCCTCTAGTGGTGTGCTAGCAATATAGCGAGAGAGAGACAGATTAAAAGATCTCATTGAGAAAAAAGTACTTATATTATACCCCAAACATGCTGCGAATATACCTATTACAATGATGCTAAGCATGCTAATAACTTGATACTTCTTGTGCCAACAATGCCATAACACCAAATTCTGCATAGCTTATTGTTTTCTCACAATTTATACTTTAACACAGACTAGTCAAATGTAATCGACACTCCCTTACAGGTTATATAGAGCAAAAAATTAATACATTGGCTAAAATGTCACATGACTGGACATCATGTCACTTACAAACAATGGCCATCTCATTAGAGACTCCATAGAGAGAAGTACTACTCTCTCTCTCTCTCTCTCTCTCTCTCTCTCTCACACACACACACACACACACACACACACACTGTAGCCAGGATACAGTGGCTGGTGTCTAAATGTCTGAAGCAGACTGAAATGTCTTATTGTCCCTAATATCCTCAACACGGGATGTAATGAGGCCTTAAACAAATAAAAACAGATCATTTGCTCTTATGGTGTTTTCTAAATCTCTCTTCAGAACATTACAAGGGTAATGACTGTGCCATTCATACATAAAATGTATAATTGCAGAAAATATATATACACGTTGTATTGAACATGAATGATTTTTCACACAAAATCTGTTGCTCCATTAAAGTTGTTTAATTTGTTTAAAAATCTTATAAATGTATGAGGTGGCAAGAGGGGCACACGGTATTGATACAAATATCTTCAGCTAAAATAATGTTTTTTTAAAATAATGTCTTAGTTAACACTTGTTCAAAACAATCACATTAGCAAAGTTTGTACTATTTTCTGCTTATTTTGAAAAATACAAAATATTTTTTTTCTATAAATATACTGTCATTAAAACATGTTAATATGAGAAATACATTTCTAAATACAGAAACAAAATCGTTTTAATAAGTAAAGATTCTGAAAGTATTGAAGGAGATCCAATAATAATTGAATATATATTTACAGTAGTAACAACAAATGATATTTCATTATAAATGATTAATATCATGTTTTTAAATATGATGGTTTCATTCTAAACAGGGTGATTATCTCTAATATGGACACCCAACATAATATGATATTTACCATCTGAATCCAACCATGTCATGTCAACAAATGGAAAAGTCAGCCATCTTTTAATCATCATGTTAATTACTGTGCGCCTTTAGCCCCAACAGCAGGAGTGCTTTTTATCCCAAATACCATACTTTTACATATTCTTTCGTTATTTAAAAACTGTTGCTTTATGAAAATCATAAAGACGACATTTGTCTCAAAATATATGCATTCATTTTAGTGATTCTCATTTGCTACTTAAATCTACAACATTTAAAAAAATACAAAATATTAGATCAACTTCACACTGCTGCGCGTGATCACGTCAAGCATCAGACAAATATACATGTGCATCTTGAAAAGCGGATGTTTTGGAAAGTGCTACGCCACGTTTTTGTTTCATTTAGTGGTTTAGATGAAAATAATACCAAAGGCGCCTTTAGCCCCTTTGTACCCTACTATATTATGGTGCATACACAGCAAAATAATTAAAATAATAATAGATTTTTTTTTACATAAAATTTTCCTTGATTAAATCATTTATATTGTATTTGTAAGCTCTTTTTTCACAATTGTTGTTGAATTAAACGGAATACCCTCAGGGTCATGGACCACCTGTCGTGTCGACAACACTTATTTTGGATGAAATGTTGCATTATTCCTACAAGAGTTGCAATATTTTGTTGCTTTATGAAAATCATAAAGACGACATTTGTCTCAAAATATATGCATTCATTTTAGTGATTCTCATTTGCTACTTAAATCTACAACATTTAAAAAAATACAAAATATTAGATCAACTTCACACTGCTGCGCGTGATCACGTCAAGCATCAGACAAATATACATGTGCATCTTGAAAAGCGGATGTTTTGGAAAGTGCTACGCCACGTTTTTGTTTCATTTAGTGGTTTAGATGAAAATAATACCAAAGGCGCCTTTAGCCCCTTTGTACCCTACTATATTATGGTGCATACACAGCAAAATAATTAAAATAATAATAGATTTTTTTTTACATAAAATTTTCCTTGATTAAATCATTTATATTGTATTTGTAAGCTCTTTTTTCACAATTGTTGTTGAATTAAACGGAATACCCTCAGGGTCATGGACCACCTGTCGTGTCGACAACACTTATTTTGGATGAAATGTTGCATTATTCCTACAAGAGTTGCAATATTTTGACCACTATTGTAGATGGAAAAAAAAAAAACCAACAACAGATGGGTTGATGTATATTTACAGATATTTTATTATTTTAATTATATTGCAAACAATGACATCAAGATATACCGATGGACAGTTATTTATGTAAGTGCACGAGTATGTGTCAACAGTGAGACCACAAAAAGCAGAATGAAGTCCTCGATATTGGGGATTCTCAGTACAGTAACAAGGCAGAGAAAGCGAATAGCTGGAGTCAGAGTCCGCTGTGTGCTCACAGACAGGAAGTGACGTCCACACACACACACACATCCAAAGCTTCTACATATACAGCTTTGGGATGGCAGTGGTTGGGCATACATGACTCTACTGTTGGAAACAGTACGCTGCGGACCAGCAAGCACAGCAAACTACTCGCCACTGATGTAGTCTTATAAGTTACTAACTGTTGCCTTGTACTGCAGCCAGTGGAGAAATTTTCAAACTCGCTCCGTCTGTCTGCCCCATTAATCTGATCAGGAGGCCATCTTCCTATAAATGTGTTCATAGAAAACACATGCACACCTTAATAGTTAACACACAGAGCAGCCTATAGATATTGCACGTCGATCTACGGTGGAGGTGTCGTCCTCAAACTCCACAAGGTCCAGGACAGTGCCTTCCTCTGCAATGCCAAAAACCTCCCTGAATCAAGAGACTGACTAGATAGCTCAAGGTCACTGAGCAGTACCACAGAGTACGTCAAAAAGCCTGTATGGGCTATGTCTCGTGAAGTCTTCACAAACGCGCGGACAGGCAGCAGATGGTGCAAGCAAGCAGCAGAATGACAAAGCAATGAAAGCGCTATATCAATGACGAAGGGTGTTTTGCAAGAAGGGGTTAATGAGACCTATGACCGAATTAAGTCATTTTCGAGAATAGTGAGGCAGAATGTGGGCAGAGGTACTAAATCAGACTGTGTGGCGATGGAGGGTGTCAGAATTATATGCTTTGTACACACACACAAAAAAAAAAAAAAAAAGAGCGAGAGAGAGAGAAACAAAATGTAAACCCTATTTTTCCAGGGACAAGTGCACTTTACCGATTCATGTCCTTACGCAAGAAGGGGTTAATGAGACCTATGACCGAATTAAGTCATTTTCGAGAATAGTGAGGCAGAATGTGGGCAGAGGTACTAAATCAGACTGTGTGGCGATGGAGGGTGTCAGAATTATATGCTTTGTACACACAAAAAAAAAAAAAAGAGCGAGAGAGAGAGAAACAAAATGTAAACCCTATTTTTCCAGGGACAAGTGCACTTTACCGATTCATGTCCTTATAAAAGCAATCCTTTTCTCATATTGTGTTTTCTGCACTTCTTTTCAAAGGGGATCGCATGTAGATTTGCCCAAACGGCTTCAAAAGGTCTCAAACCTGTTTTTAGAATGGAAAAGGACTTCGTGGATGAGCTGTGGATGAGAATGGTTCAATAATGTGAACTGAAGTTGTTACCTCTTCTTAAAGTGACGCATGTCAAATGAGAATCTTCTTGTAAAGGGGAGAACTAAGCATCCAGGCGTTCATATGGTTAAATTACATTACAGACCCCCAGAACAGACAAGTCAAGCTGTTCATCTTCAGTCAGTTTAAATGTTTAAAAGTCTTTCTTTTCTTTAAAGCAGAATGTGACAATCGTCGGGAAAGAAAACGTAAAGGTCCAACAGAACGATTTTGAGGGCCCTGTATCCTGAATTCCCCAAACAGCATCATTCTGCCTTCTGTTCATAAACGCTTGAGGCAAGAGCATCACCTGTGCTCTGCATCCCTACGGTACTTTAGATGAGGAGAAGCAAAAATTTACAGTATACAAGGTTTGGATTCACCATGCAAGAATACTTGTTTTACGTTTTACTTATTTCTGTTTTTTCCTTGTGAGTGTGTTGTGTAACATTTAATAAGCTCAAACTACATCCAGAGTAATTTACATAAAAGGACAATAGTTATTAGAAGAGAGCTGGATGAGGTGGTAACCACAGTAATGAGTGCATCCTGAAGAGCAGGTGTGGGAGTGGCCAAAGTGGTGGCATTTGGGGGGGGGAGGGAAGGGGCGGACCCTATGGCGATCAGCGACATTCCCACACTTTGACCGTTTGATCTACACTTCCTGTCACCACGTAAGGAGAAGTCTTGTGGAAATCTGTGGAAGAAAGGATGAATATTTCATTGATTTGATAGTGTAATGAGACCAAACGTCACCATTTCGTTTCAAGAATTTCCAGGCAACAATGTCTGCTTGGCTTACCCAGAGAGGTAACAAAGTGTTCATGGGCACTCAGGGTCTTCATGCAGCGCTTGTTCTTATAGTCCCAGATACGAAGGGTCTTGTCATCAGCGCAGCTCACTACGAATCTCCCACCAGGATGGAACAGCACTCCACGCACCCAGTTATCATGACCGACCTGAGAGGCCAGAGAAGTAAAAGATGAAAGAAGAATGAGAACTTGTGAATAAGAGCTCAGAATTTGCCATATGATTCAGTATCATCTGATCTAATAAAAGGGGAGAATCACTTCAATGTGTATTTGAAAAAGCGGTTTGCTTATATTTCACCAATCCACCAAATACAGAGCATTAATACAGTACATGTTCAGAATATGTATAATACTCAAGTATTCCAATGCAAAGTTTCTATATGCATGGAATACTGTGAATACATTTGACCAAAATGTGCAATATAAAATAGAACATTGTACTGGGTGCTGCACCCCACAATGCAATGCAACTTTCCATTAACAGCATGAGAAATAAAGCAGAAGGGATCAACTGCTACTTTAAATATCTCCTCTTTAACTGATTATTTAACTGGGCTGTTAGCGACTCCTTACATAAACAAAATTAGATAAAAAAAATATAAAATTGTTGTTTCCAGAAATCATGAACTCAAATTCAACATAATGACATAATGTGACGATGTAATATACTACTGTCTGAAAATATTGATCATTGAATAAATGTATGGTAGACTATTTCCACCATGAATAAGAAAAAAAAGCCATGTTTTGGTCAAGTCATTAATTATGGTGTACATAATGTGTCAAAATTATGATATATCAATTCATAATGAGATAAGCTGAAACTGATAAGCAATTATGACCAAAAGTCAAATTTATGACAAAAAGTCATAATTATGAAAATGTCATCATTTTGAAAAAACATTCCGACTTGTCAGGTATGACTTAGCATCTCATAATTTCAACTTGTCAATGTTTTTATCTCATAATTATGACAGTGCAGTCACATTTCAACAGGAATCCGCATAATCAAGAATTCACACAAATTTCCCATGCAAATTTCGCAACAGGTTCAAGTCACCGTGTTGACCAACAGAAAGTTGCTTAGTTTGAAAGTGACTTCTTTGTGAGCTGTGCTTCATACATCATTACACTGTGACTGATAATAGACAAAGGACCTTTCTTGATGCCTAAAAAATTTCACAAATCTCATAATTTAGTATAACATTTTTCACATTTTTATTTACAACTTATGACAATATCAACATTTTATCTCAGAATTATGACTTAGTATCTCATAATTTCAATTTATGTCATGATTAGGTCTTGTATCTTCAAGTTTGACATATGTCAATTATGATTTAACAAAACAAATAATTCTATTATGTGGCAGAAATGGGCTTCCATACTGCATACTTCTTAATAAAAAAAATAATAAATGCACTAAGCAGTATTTAGTTTTTTATTCTGAACACAGACAGTGTGACTATAGATATCATACAATGAAGCTGCCTGAACTATAGCTTAACTCACCAGTGTCATAAGGCACATGCCAGTACTTATGTCCCACATTTTAATGGTCTTGTCTCTGGATCCAGATAACAGGAATGGCCCAGGCTTTCCACTTTTCTTGTTCTGCAAGAAGAGAGTAAACATGACAATTTTTTTATAAGAAGACAATATATCTATCTAGAGTATCACGATTAGGGATGGGTATCGTTTACATTTTATCGATACCGATACTGTTATCTATATAGATATCTATCTATCTATCTATATATATATATATATATATATATATCTATCTATATCAGTCAGCGAGTAAACGCATTTGTTCTGAGCTCGCGCTGCGCTGTCTTTAGGCAGAGCTAAAAACGGTCTGTGCAGCGCAGTTCAAACGAGTCTCGCTCTTCCGCTTTTGACGAGTTTAGGAATTCGTGTGCGCAAAGAAGAAATGAGAGTGCATGAGTTATCAAATTGATATCACTCGCGTTTTACTGCTACATCTGGTCTAAAATTTTGTTTTTGTTGACATTTTGAAACCGCATAGGTCTATTTTGTAAATTATGCTTGGCGGGCCATATATAATATAGACTATTAAGACAGCTGCGGGCCGCTTAAAATTCATCCATGGGCCGCATTTGGCCCATGGGCCGTAGTTTGGACACCCCTGCTTTAAAGACAAGCGGGAGCATGTTTAGTACTGCCGCTTTAAGAGCTGCACGCATCTGTTTTTCTCTCAACTGTTTACTTTCACTTTAGACATAATTAACTGTGTTTATATGTAAATCTGGTGTGTTTTTGACCGTATTAGCGCAATCAGACGATAAGATAACTAAGTAATCAGGTGCTGTTTGACCGGCCTTTTAGTGTACGGACACTTTGGGTGTACGCGCTCTGAATAAGCACATGTTAGAACAGCACGCGAATAAAACGTTTAAACGGCAAGGCCTTAAAGCATGCGGAAATAATGTACTTTTGTGATTGCAAATAAGTCTCGTGAGTGTAACTCTACCGAATCAACATTTGATGTGAATGTGTCTCGTGAGTTTCAGTTGGAGCTGGAGCCGCAGACATAATACAGTGCATTGCTTGAGATGTTGTATTTTGTTAGTAAATGTTTCATTATATTACTAGTGTTGCCTCCTTCGTTCACTATTACACTACTGCATATATTGCATCTGATACTCTTGTCGCCTAGTTTTGTAATGTGAGCCCACACTTTCAAATGTTTCACTCTTGCCACGATGACTGATCACACGCAAACACACACAGCACATGTGCATGGATATCACGCGCACGTCGGGCAAACAAATCATTCAAGTGAAGGAAAATGACAAGCAGCAGCTTCTAATTCATCGTTAACACTGAAGTATAAGGATAAAAAAACAACGCAAGTATCGATAACAGTATCATTTGTCCTGAAGCTTATCGGTACTCCGGTATTGACCCAATTACGTACCGGTCCAAAAAAATACCGGTTCTCGGTACCCATCCCTAATCACGATGATGCAGAAAAGGGAAAAAGAGGGAAAGCTCTAGGGCTGCCCCGCTAAGAGTCAACTAAACATTAGTCGACTAAAATTTTATTAGTTGGTTAGTTGCAGAAAAAAAAAAGGTCCTTGTCAATGACAGATAATTAATGGCTGGAATAATCCTTTAAGTAATTACAGTATATCGGGCAGAAAATACAAACGTTTGCCTATCATTCATTGACCTCAAATATGGCTTATCATTTGAAACTGAAACATGCAAGTACTAGCAAATTTACATGGCCGTTTGCTCTAATGTTACCCTAGATAAATGTGCGCTGTTGGGCGCATATCCAAGTGTTTGTGCGGAGTGTGGAAGCTGTTACGTCTTGTTTACATTGCACGTGTCTGCTGCACATTACGGCTCCGACGAGGTTTTGTTCCATCCTCCACGCGGTGCCAACTCACACCAGGAGCATTTCAGAAGCGAAGCAACCGTATTTGCGAGACCACGAGATTTGCATCTCTGACATTTGTTCTTGATTTTTCGTGTTTTCTTGATTTTTGGAGTTTCTGCCATGGTTAAGTTGGCTAAATGGTTATGTTTTGTCCAGTTTAATTGTGTTTATTACTATGTCCTGCTTTGTTGTGCTATAGCCTATAGACAAAGTTAATAAACTTAAAAGTCCAGTTATGAACATCAAGGATAAAAGATTTGTAGCTGTGTTTTAGTCTGCACAGCATGTTTATTTTGTATTTTAACTGTGTGGCTTGGACGTGGTGTCTGTCAAAAATAGACTAGGCACCTATCTTTAGTGAAGCAGAATGGAGAGCCGCTTCCGGGACTCTTCTAAAACGTGCCACAGTGTGGCGCGGCTGGTATAAACACGAGCACTGACTAGAGTGGCCGCATTCAGCTCCGTTGGCCATTTCAGAGCCGTAACGCGCCGCAGACGTGTGCAGTGTAAATAAGGAGTTAGTGTGCTACTGCATGACTTGGAGGTGTTGGCGCGATCACTGGCATTTTTTCTTGATAACAGTAAGAATATAAGAATAATACATACACATGATCAAGGGTGTACTTTTATTTGTACACACTCAACAAGACGTTGTGCTTTTGTAAAATAGAAAAAAACAGGATGCGCTATCTGACGTCTCTGTCTCCATGCACTGGAGTGTGGCACAAAACCCATGCACATCACAACTCAATGTATAGGCAATTTGCCTCAGATATAAAATAAATTTGTGATCAGTTAGTTGACTAGAAAAAAACTTTAGTCTTGGGCAGCCGTAGAAAGTTAAACACCATGTACCTCAGAGCCTGTAGCCTCAGATATGGTGGGGTGTGCGCTCTCAGGGGCCCAGGAAATACACTCCACCACGTGCTCGTGCTCCCGCAGCTCCGCCTTGCACTCTTTGTTGGCCACCACCCACACGCGCACCGTCTGGTCATTAGAGCAGCTGGCCAACAGTGTGCCATCTTGATTGGGCCGGACCATACGCACCCACTCCCTGTGACCCGTGAACGTCTTCACACAGTAACTGACGCAAGAGAGAGAATCATTAGACACTGACACACAGAATGTTTTGTATTGCTTTGCAAAAAAAAATACAAATAATGTAATTACTTGTCTTGAGGCAATAACATCGGAAAAAACTACAAGACATTCAGAGCAATACATGTGACTCATTGAAATCCTTGCAGAGTACAGATTCAGATCACAAGCCCACACAATGCACTTATGTATTACTCACCCAGTGGCCACCTCCCACATTTTAATGGTCTTATCCCTGGAAGCAGACACTATGTGATCACCGTTGGGCATGATGGCAACTGACGACACATTGTGGTCATGTCCTGAGGATGTGAGGAAGACGAATGAGATATGGAGTGCAAGGAAACGCTTAGTTACAGTTAGTCTCAAGCAACTGGACTTTTGACTTGTGGCATAACCATCCAATGTCCAAAAAAAAAAAACCCTGAATCCTCATTTGAAGTATCTAATGTCATTTACTGACCGATGTAAAGGACAGGACTTATGGCATATGATTAAAAGAGGCACCTTTTGTACTTGAGAGAGAGATTAAAGCTGTCATCCTGGTTAATCCTGCCCCCAAACTAACCTTTACCCCTCCCCCTGGACCAACCGGCCCTGTCTGTGTCTCAGCGTCCAGAGAGAGGATTTTCCAGTTCTCTAATAAGGATCCCAGGAAGCTTTAAGCCTATATTGGAAGTAGCTGCAGTACATGGTGGGTCAAAGGCCATTTAAGGAAGTTCTTCCAGCAGTAGATTTGAATAATGGTAATAATGTGGTAGCAAATGCAGGAAATATGTACCGTGCATGGTCCTGATGCACTCAAAACCCTGGAAGTCCCAGAGTTTGATGGTCATATCTGCAGAACAAGAAGCCAGCAGCTTTCCAGTCTGATCAAAGGAGATGTCCTGCACTGAGTCAGTGTGACCCTTCAGGGTGCGCTCGAAATCCCCAGCCTCGTAGTCCCAAACCTGCAAAACAACGTAATGCAACACACTTGCTTCAAAGTGATTCAAAATAATAATAATAATAATGTTGCACACTTTCAAAAACAGTTTGTGTAGCTTAAGTAAATCATGTGAGTGCTCTGGTACTTTCAGAGCAGCACAGAGAATATACTTTTCAGAATCAAAAGATTACATTTTTTTTTTTTTTTTCAGAGACTACGCCAATGCAATTCTGGACAAAACCCATAGCCAATAATAATTATATGTAATCAAATAAGAATATATAATAAATTATATACTATATACAAGAATAAGTGTTCAATAACTGATATGATCTGATAACATATATACACAACATTAATGATCCCAAACTTTTGAACGGTAATGTATATGGAATTATGAAAAGAAAAAAACTAAAAACTAGAGATGCACCAAATGTTCGGCAGCCGAAATTATTCGGCCGAAAATAGCAAAAAAAAGCTCTTTTGGAATAAGCGAAAAGACAGAATAAATTGTACCGAACAATGACGTGACACGATCAAACAGAGGCGCGCGCTAATGCAGCAAACATGACGGCAGTGCGGAAACAGCTGTCCGAGAAAGACGCAAAAATCATTACAAGCACCGACAGCGAGAGACTGTTTAGTACTGCATCGCATGTCTTCGATGAGAAGAGAAAGGGTGGTTGTTGCTGGTTACTGACTGTATGATGATTAAAATGGCGAAATGCCCGTAAACAATTAAATAAACTGCAGAATGTTGTTTTCTAATACACGCAGGAATTGCATATATTCAAACAGCGCTGCACAAGCTTGTGGCGGTAGGGTTCAAAGTCCAAAGTGCGAAGGAAATCTGCGCTGAAACGGTGTTACTCGTCAGCTGCTCAGTAACATTTTAATGAATTTTTACAAGGCATGTGACTATGCGATACGTGCAACAAAAGTCTTCCCAAATTCGTAATGAGTCATTTGTCAACAAAAAGAAGCACTGAGGTCTTTCTGCGGGTTTCTGCCAAAATAAAAGTTGAGAAAAAGCAAGAACTCCGTCAACATTAATAAATGTTATTGTAATTTTACTGTTGCTCTGTAAAATAAAATAAAAAATGAAAATAATGAAAATAATAATTACAACAGCTCTATTAAAACATTTATTGTAACATTTACACATTGTTCAGACTAGGATCTATAATATTTTCTAATGTTTTAAAAGAAGTCTCTTCTGCTCAGCAAGGCTGCATTTATTTGTAAGGCAAAAATACATGCCTGATTCAAGAAGGGGGTCTAAAAAATGGCCAAAAAATATTTTACAAACTTATTAATTTTTTAAGTTTTATTGGTATAATGTTTGCTAGAATGCTAAAAAATGTTCAGTGTTAAGTAAATATTTTTAAATTGTCATTTTGTTTGAAAAACAAGACAAAACAGTAAAAAGAACATTTAATTTATGCAATGATGAAAAAATTGGCAAAATGGGGGGAAAAAAACGTGAAAAACAGTGTTCGGCATTCGGCCCAGTGTTTAATTTGTTTCGGCTTCGGCCAAGAATTTCCATTTTGGTGCATCCCTACAATAAACAAAAAAACAAAAAGTGTGCTCTTTATTAGTGATCCATATGGGATCTATATTGGGAAGATCTTTACATAAATATTGAAATATTTTTCATTTACCTAAGCCAACATTCTTGCAAACACACACACACAAACACAAAAACAGGACTGTTTTTGCATCGTTCATGACAATTATGCACCACTCATACGCTCAGCTATTTCTAGTGCTGGACTTCCCCAAAACAACAAAGACTGCAAAGCTGCACAGTATAATTTACATAAGGCAAATATTAACACACTGACTCATTTGGACAACCAGTACAATTGTACTTTTGCAAGCTCTTTTTTACACTAGACCTCTAATTCAGAACATTAAACGTACAATAGCAAAGATCAACAACAGGTTTAAAATCTGGCACAGAAAGAGTATACCCCTTCTGCCACAACTGCAAATCGGCAACAGGTAAGACAACAAATAATATAGGGGAGCGCTATAAGACCTATATAAAAAAAGGTGTGAAGCAAAATGTCTCGAGCAGTCTAGCTGTGATATTTATGGCGCTTTTCCACTGCGTGGTACGGCTCAGTATGGTACGGCACGGCTCGGTTTGCATTTCCACTGCAGTTTAGTATCGCTTTAGAATGGGCGGGATTATTCACATGTGGTTATAGTTGCGCCGCCTCTACTGCCACGACTCCTAAAAAACGTTTTCATTCCGCGTCGCCCCATCAAGCTCTCGCTGGATCCGCTCCTCTGCTATCAACGAGAGGAACGTCTGTTCTTCCGCAACAGGGGGAACAGCCACTTTTTGGTTGTAAAAAAACACTTTTTGCGCTCGTTCAAAACGTTCGATCCTTCGCTGGCTGTGCTGATTTAAATCTAGCGGGTCTGTTTGTGTCTCACGTCGCAAGTTCAGTGACGCAGGTAGTGACGATTTTCTCCGGCCAATCCGTGATCAGCAGAGTTTACACGTCACGTTTTGGTAACGGTACGGTACGCTTGGAACCCCAACCGAGGTGGTACTAAAAAAAGTACCAGGTACTGTACCCAGTGGAAAACCCCCCAAAAGTGAACCGTACCGAGCCGTACCATGCAGTGGAAAAGCGTCATTATTTGTGATCTATCCATGTCTTGACATGTGAAAGATACAAAGAAACGCATAAAGAAAGATCTGATAGAAATGCAGGCTGAGAACGCTTATAACTGCACTGCCTGGTGTCCAGAGAACTGCTCACCGTTGCCCTGGGAAACCAGAGCATCCCGATTTTTCTATGGAGATAGTCAGTGACTCAGCAGAAAAGAATGAGAGCATATGGATTTGAAAATTTAAAAATGGCACAAGATAACATCCATATAGCATATGCATACATCCTTGTACAGCCTAAGTCAAAACATCTGACGTGTAAAAAAAGCTGAATCAAAAAAAGAACAAAACCTTTATAGTGGCATCCTCTGAGGCGGAGACCATGAGGCTGAACACAGGGTGGAAGATGACGCGTGTGACAGGGCTTCTGTGGCCACTGAGGGCGTACTTCTCAGGCGGGCGTGGGATCCACTCTTTGGGGTCTCGTTTCTGTCCCACAGGGCCTCCTAAAGTGATCTCCGCTGTAGCTTCATTTAGTTTGGACTCCAACTCCATTACCTAACAAAATACAGGAAAAACTGGGGTTGTTTACATTGGAAAATTGACATATGTGCAATTATTTCAGATATATTGGCCAGTTTTAAAAAAATTTTTTTATAAGAATATACTGGAAAATGATTTACTGACCTTTTTCTGTAATCTGATGACTGAAGTCCATTTTTTTTCCAAAAGGCCTGCATACTTCTTATCCAACTCTTCATTCTGAAGAAATTACAAATAAGAATGAGACCTACTAATACATCAAATGGGATTGTCTTTTTTCATTTTGAAGCATAGTGTGAATATATGCTATTACCACATCCATCTCTGCCTCCTTCTTAAATACAGAATATGCTTCTTCATAACCATTAGAGCGCAAATAATCTGCTATTGCTCGATTTCTGAAAGAAAAGGAGGTGATTTTATTAGACAAAGAGATGTGTAATCATGCAGTTAAGTAAGGGATAATGCACGGCTAGCTGTGCATTAAATGATTTTAATGCACGACGTGGAGGCCAAGAACCACCCGATGCCTCCACGGAGTGCATTGAAATAATTTAATGCACAGTTACCCGTGCATTATCCCACTTATACCATAGTCATTTGCCAGCATTGACAAGTTAAAGCCGTTAATGATGTTTGCAGCAAAATATTTGACCGGAAGGGTAAAAATGACTTATTTTCGTCAGTTATGGCTCATTAAGCTTTAGCATTCTGCCTGCTTCAAATCAGACACAGAAATGAAATAGTGCGGTAAGATCACATTTATTTGAATAAATTATAGCATTTATTTGAATTAATTATTGATCGATCGAGAGCGAGAGATGACAGTCGTGTGTGTGTGGGTTACCTGCGTATGTGCGTCTCTCTCTACAAACAATTAAGCTGTACGTTTAGTTACTTCAAATACAGCGATTTTATCACATCGTTGCAGAGGAATATAATATAGTTAGGGCTGTGCAAAAAATCGAATGCGTTTTTCATGCGCATCTCGATAGTAAAGCCGCTCCTGTGATTAGTAGTAAATCTAAAGCACGTGCTTTCAGATGGAGCAGCATTTACTACACACAGCCGTAGTTCACTGACAAGCTACACAAAATCGCGTTCATTGCCGATTTTTAACACGATTTTGTGTAGCTTGTTAGTGAACTACGGCTCTGTGTAGTAAATGAAAAACGCAGGCCATTTTATTAATTAAAGTTGCGGGGCAGTGTTCACAAGAAGTCTCTGTGCTCTTGAATGTTTCTGTGTGCGCGCAGCGTGATCTGCGATCTCCTAACTCACTCTCTTTCTCTCTCTCCGTGGATGTGCATGAGGAAAGACTATGGAGCGAGTGATATGTGTGTGTGTATCAATTTAAGCAGTGCATTAATATAGAACTGTGATTAAACTGACTTGGAACTACCCGTGCATTAAATGGTTTCAATGCGTACCTGCCAGCCAGTCAGAATAGAGTATTCAGACAGACCATGGTATAAGCCTTAATAAAAACTTCCTCTATGGCAACATAACCAGTGTGTGATCATCACTCAAATCCATTTAAATTTAATGCATATATGGGAAATGATGAGACCGTACTTATCACATTAGCTGTGACATAGAAATGAAGTCAATATGTAGCAGGTCTCATAATTATAGATCTAAGTAAATTTTGTTAGGGACATCAAGACTCATTGGACACAAACATAAGTTTTGGGAGTGGAAATGGCATTCAAATGCAGGATTGAATCAGCCACATTAATATTATGGAATCCAGGAGTCAGTTCTGAAATAATAATAGAAACATTTAGATAACTTGTCTACTGACTGTGTACAGAATGTGATTAAAGAGAAGTGACAAATGTATTTAGCTGCCGTGTGAACAAGGCCATTCTTTTGCTTTTGATAGATGTTTTGGTGATGCAATACTCTTGTCCTACATGGTAATAAATAGTGCAATTCCAGCAGTACAACTCAGCAAGAAAGTTCCATCTCTTAATGAAGGTGAAGACTGAGGGGGTAAAAAACGGACCAGGGAATTAACCAAAACACAGTGCCCTGGTTGTCATGGACACTCACCACTAAGGACGGAAAAAGTCTCAAATGACACAGCAAGAAATGCCAAAATGGAGGACTGAGCACTTTCACTCAGGCTACGTCCACACGAAGCCAGAGCTTTCCCCAGCCGATCTTTTTTCCCCCCTCGTCTCAAGAAATATCTGCGTCCACACGAAACTACAAAACGATGTAGTATACACAGTATGTGGCGCTGTAATTCTGCCACATGGATGCACTAAAAATGGAGAAGACTTGGACTATGCGCATAAACCTTGCACACAGTATACAAGCGAACATGGAACAATACATTTATTAATCTGTTATGTTAGTTAATAAAAAGACAATCATTCGGTGTTTGTTCATGTTTTTGTTGCTGTGATGTAGCGGTGTCTGACTAGGGGCGAAACGTGGGCTGATGACGTCATCGTTTCAGAAAATATACAGATTTGCTGTCCACACGAAAACGCAAGGGTGGCGTTTTCAGATTTATCCACTCTGGGACCCAGTTCAAAACACATATAGGTTTCACTCTCCCAAAATGCCAGATCCGTGTGGACGAAACACCTATACGATACAAAATGTATGCGTATACAGCTAAACGCGTCTCCGTGTGGACGGGGCCTCAAGACTCTCGAAACACAGCCTCTTCTTTTCTCTTCCTGTGCTTCATTATGTAAATGAGACTTTTACGTATTCAGATGATGGTGAATATTTCATGAGCTGGCCAATGGGCTAAATTTAGAAAGTGATGTCAGCAACTTCGAGACTAATTTTACTAACAGTGACATTTCTGAAGGAAACACAAGCAGTCCAGTATCTATAAGCAAAAACTGGATTCAAAGAACAGCCACCTCATTAAATTATTATTTTTTTATTTAAAGACAGCCAAATGAAGTTTCTTAATGGTGATGTGTATTTTCTCCAGTTAAAATACTTTCTCCAATCCCAATTTTAGCTACACAGACAACTGTAAGCAAGCCATTCATAGGTTGGCTTTCTGAAGAGCATAAACATTATGACACTGACTGTTCACTGATTGCATTACAAGAACATTTTGCGATCTCAAGGCCTTCACTAGTGGCTACCCTAAGCTGTGACAGGCATCAGAAAGGGAAAAATATCCATTATCCATCAAATTAATTTCATGCTATTAAAGGTGCAGTATGTAGAGTTTAGGGGCATCTAGCAGTGATGTTGCAAATTGCAATAAACGGATTAGCCCCTCCCCTTGAGAAGCTACCGTTGCCGACACAGGACAAAGATATCGTCATCTGAGACAGCACAGAGTAGTCAGTCAAGCATTGAGGTTTCTTTACAAAGATAAATTAAGAAATGATATGCATTTAATTATTTAGTAAACCGATATGTTATTGTGAATATTATTGTTACATGTTCATCATTTTAGCTTCTTTGACTATGAAGATTGGCACTGTCGTATGGAAGCATACAGGTAGCAAAATTAAATTTAAAATGCAATATGCAAAATGGCAATGCCATATTCAAAATGTCAACGAAATACTCAAAATGGCAATGTATTTCTGTTTTTAAATGTACATTTCCCATTACCCATATGTGCAAAGTTTGGTGCAAAAGGAAAATGAAAATTAAATTTTATAATTTACATTTGCCATTTCCAACAGTAGTCTTAATATGTAAATTGCATAATAATTTTAATGCTTTATAAGTTGCGAAATTAAAATGTATAACCCACATTAATTTGATGTGTAACATGTCCAAGCAGAAATGGTAGCAAAATTATAATTTAAATGCTATTTTTCCTAAATGCATCTAGACCAACAGTTAGGACACTTAGAATTGCATTTTCATCATGATGCCGTGGGATATTTGTAGCAAAATTCAGTGCGGCTTTGAAAATGCATTCCGAGCTGACCATGCCCACCCTTCGTCAATCATAGTTTCAAGGCAGGGATTGGCCGAAGCACGTTACATTTGGATCGTTTGAAACATGGCGACTGGAGATCTGATAAGATCGTTGAATTTACTGGCAGATGAAGTGGAGCGTGAATAGAGAAATATATGGCACGTACTCCGTGCTAAAAACAAAAGTTCGAACGACCGACCGACCGATCGAACGTCAAACTGAACGTCTTGAGATTTGAGCGTCTTACACTGCGGGTGACCCACGTGACGACCAGACGTGAAGTCAGCGTCTTGAAATTAGCTGGTTTTTAAACATTTAAGGAGCCAAGCTGCTTAGAGAAATATATGGCACGTACTCCGTGCTAAAAACAAAAGTTCGAACGACCGACCGACCAATCGAACGTCAAACTGAACGTCTTGAGATTTGAGCGTCTTACACTGCGGGTGACCCACGTGACGACCAGACGTGAAGTCAGCGTCTTGAAATTAGCTGGTTTTTAAACATTTAAGGAGCCAAGCTGCTGTGTAAAGACTATAAAATGGATATTACAAATAAAGATATTTTATCAATATTATTTAATGATAGAACTTTAGTAATTAGAATTAAAACTTGATAACCATGTATGAATGCATATTAGTCATTTTAACTGAACTTCGGACTGGTGGTGGTGCTTTTTTGGTCATTCATTGTTTCTGTAAAAAAATTAATTGGGGAAAAACTAACAAAGATACTGATAAGATAATAATGATACGAATTCTACTAATAAGAACAATATAAAATGCACCAAGGATTAATGAGCTACTGGATTCATGAATATTAATCAGGTTGTGTGCGTTCGCTCGAACTGATTTGCTGAAATCAAAACAGGGACGATAATAGGTGACCACCAGCCAATGAGATTGCCATTTTTACATTAGTTCCACCCTCTACCGGAGAAAGCGGTATTTCTTAAAATCTGAAGAATTCCAAAGGAACTCCGCTATTTTGACAGCAAAATACAACAAAGAATATCGTTTACATGTAGCGCGCATGTAATGTAATGTAAGTGATATATTCGCAATGTAGAGGGTTGTGGTAGAACTTACTTTCCTACAAAATTCCATTGACTTTATCTGAGCAATGAAGGCCGTAATACTTAATTCTGTCCACTAGAGGAGGAACAGAACAAGAAATCTTTCAGTCTAGGCTACTCTTTCTCCGTTTACATCAGTTTAAATGACAAATAAATGCATGAATTACATTTGTACTGCCATGAATAGGCCATATCAGTGTACAAGAACAAGTTTCACACTTCAAGCTGTAAAACTACTTAAAGCTTTCCATTCGGGTTTCCTCAAGCCTACTTCAAAATTTGTTCACAGACTTCACTCTCTAGTTTCTTTTAAGATGTTGTTTATTCACACGGTTTTATGCATTTAATTTTATGCATCCAGCTGGGACTTTTATTTGTCATGAGCTCATTTTAAGATGTACAGGTGTTGA